CTAATATGGCAAAATCATTCCATTTTTTCCGAAAAAAAAAGTTCACTCGCTTTTGTGGAATTCGTCAACCGGATCTCATTACTTGGTAAACCAATTATTTAGGAAACATGAGATATCACAACGGCGCACATTACTTGGTAAACCAATTATTTAGGAAACATGAGATATCACAATGGCGCACGATGAAAAAAAATGTAAAGATCTTTGTAGATCCTGTAGATTGAGATAACTAGGTAAAGATTGAGATAACTATATAGAATAGTATTCCATTTATCCATAATTTAGATAACTATGTAAAGATCTCATAATCAATTTCCATAATCAAATTTTTGTTTAAATCTTCTTGGGGATAAACATTTCAAATTGTATGAACAGATGGAGTATCACAAAAACTCTAAACGTGGTATATAGTTATTCAGGATTTACATATAGATTTTTATTTTCACGACTGATTAATTAATGATAACAGACATAACTAATTAGATCACACATTCAAATCTGAAAGAGATTTAATATCACATAACTCTATTTATCCGATTTGTTTTTGTTATTTTATAAAATCGTTCTATCTTTGATGTATGTTGCAAACCCGTTTTCTTTTCCTCAAAAACTGAATCTACACACATTAAAAAAAAATATTAGCAGCCGAATACATGCATAAAATAAAATATATCACATACAAAAAGTTTCAAATTCACCTGCCAAATAACTAGATTAAAAAATTATAACCCAAACTCAACTGATTTGAGGCAAATTACTTTTAACACATGCCAAATTATGTCACGTAATCTAAAGTGACTTTGCAAAATTTAAATATAATATTTTTATGTAAGATATGTAAATTTTGAATATATTTTTATATATAATAGTCTATTTACTTTTAAACATGTTGTTTGGGCAAATTTTTTACACATTCTTTAAGCAATATATATATATATATATATATATATATATATATAGGGTCACGCTCCGGTGAGAATGGTGCTTACCGAGAGAAATAAGAATAAATCTTGACCACAAGATTCACTTAATCTCGCGGACAGCAACAGCTCACCTTCACGTAACTAGAACGGGGAATTAGTAATTACGTTATACAAGCTCCAAGCCATTCTCCCAGCTCGACATTAAATTCAACATCAAACGCGACTGTGAAAAATCCCAAACATCAAACACCGTTCTCCCAGCTCGATTTTAAATCCCAAACCTCCAAGCTCGACGTCGAAATCCCAAAGCTCGAAATCAAAATCTATGAAAAATCCCAAATCTCCAAGCTAGAAAGGCTCTCAGATTGAATTTCATCGAATCTGGATTCTGCATCCGCGGTTAGGGCAAAAATCAAAATCAGATATGTACGTTATTGGAATTTAGGGCTTTAATTCAACATATACAATCGATCCAGGACCTTCTTTTTTTTTTTTTTTTTTTTNCATTCTCTGTCTCTTTTTTATTTTTTTTCAATTGTAAATTTCAGGCATCTTAGACCACTTTCATACAGTTGCACCGCACAAGATGATGGAATCGAACGTTGCTCCGACAGGTAGGACCAATGTTTCGTCTTTTACGATGCAAATACATTCAATGAGTCCTAGTACGTGTAATGTGCACATATATTCAATGATTCCTGCAAGTTTCTGAACAGCGTTGTACAACTAGTACAATAGTGTGTTTGACCTCTATATGTGTTCATGTGATTGAGATATATCTTGTGTTTGACAGGTAGAGACCGATGTTTCGTGTTTTTGTTTTTGTTTTTTTTTTTTATATTGGCTCTATAATGTTCGTGCGTTAAGCCGTTTACGTGCAATACTTTGTATACAATTGTGCAATTTTATGAACTTATTGCATGCATCCATAGGGACACCATCATCATATACGGGTCGTCAGCAAATGGCAATCACTCCTGGTGGCACTAGGTATTGGATACCACAGTGTGATGATCCCCTTAAACCTTGTACGGGGCAAAAATTCCAAACACTGGATGATGCAATAACCTTCTACAAGACATATGCGTATGCTGTTGGTTTTGATGTACGACAGAGCACGTTGATCAAGGCACGTGATAATAAGACCATACTTTGGAAGTATCTGGTATGCTCGCGAGAGGGTTATAAAAACAATACACACGCTGCCCCGACCGATGTGCACATAAAAAGGCGACGAGTATCCAACCGTGTGGGTTATGTTGCGAGGATAGTGTTGCGTGTGGACGGGCTCAATGGGTATATTGTCAGCTCTTTCGAGGATAGACATAACCACTCGATGACTTCTGAAGAATGCAGGCACCATCTCAAAATCAACAGAACCATGAATGCGGGACATCAAAGTTTTTCTTTGAATTGTATAAAGGCAAATATTGGGCCTGTCAAATCATACAAGCTGTACAAATAAATTGTGGGAGGATATTCTGGTATTGGTGCCACCAACGTCGATTTTAAGAACTTCAAACGGGAACTCCTTGCTTACATTTCAGGAGCAGATGCGCAATTGGTTATCGACAAGTTCTATAAGAGACAAGAGCATAGCACTGCATTCTACTTTCATTACGAAGTAGACGATAATGACTGCTTGCAACGACTTTTCTGGGCAGATCCAATTTCGAGACAGAATTATGGATCATTTGGAGATGTCGTGACATTTGATGCAACATATTGCACCAACAGGTAACTTACAACTTGTATTTTACATGATTGCATTGTATTACAGAATTACTGAATGCATAAAACATCATTAATGATTGCACATTACATTGTTACAGGATGCATAAAAAATCATACAGTGATGAACATTATACTATACCTCAATGCACAAAACATCATTATTGATTGCACATTACATTGTTATAGGATGCACAAAATAACATACAGTGATGAACATTATACTATGCCTCGAACCGTATGTTAACACTCAATGGTTATCTTTACAGATACAATATGGTGTTTGCTCCCTTCACGGGGATCGATAACCACAACAAATGTGTTACTTTTGCGGCAGCCTTGATATCAAAGGAGGACGTAGGTTCTTATGTTTGGGTGTTTGAAAATTTCAAGGCCGCCATGATTCGAGAGCCAGAATACATTGTCACGGACCAAGATCCCTCAATTGGAATCGCCTTTTCTCAGGTATTTAATACGTCAAGGCATCGTTTTTGCGTGTGGCACATAATGACAAAATTATGAGATAAGGTAGGACATTGTTTGCATAATGATGTTGCTTTCAAATCCAGACTTAATGAGCTTGTTTGGGATCGAACACTAGAACCACCGGATTTTGAGACGAAGTGGACTGAACTCATGCGTGAATATGATCTGGAAACTCACAGCTGGTTTGTTGATTTGTATGCAAAACGGGAACATTGGATTCCAGTATTCTTTAGAAGTGTTAAAATGAGCGGGCTAATGAGAACTACGTCTAGGTCAGAGAATGAGAACAATTGGTTCAGCTATTTCATGAACAGTCATGCTAGTCTAGTCGAATTCTTGCTACACTTTGATAGTGCAATGGATGCGCAGTGAAACATATCAATGAAATTGCAAGCGGACACCGAAACACACTTGGCTAACTTGAAAACTCCATTGGCTATTGAAAAGCATGCTCTTAATGTGTATACCACTGTCATGTTCTATCTTGTTCAAAAAGAAATATGTGTAGCATGATTTCATTGTCGTCTTATGAAATTCTCAGATGACGATGGGCATACAAAATTCGAAGTCCAGGATATTAATGGCAAGACGTTCACGGTACTATACAATGTGAGTTTGAAAACATCCACATGCTCTTGTAAGCATTTTGAACTGTATGGGTGGCTGTGCAGGCACATTTTCGTTGTGTTGAGGGATGTGAACATTGAGGTTATACCGACTGCATATATTCTATCGAGATGGACAAAACTGGCAATTCTTAACCCAATGTTCTGCGTTGTTGATGGTATAACCGAACAGTGTGCTCAAATTGATTATACAAAATTCATGGTGAATAAATTGTGGTCTGACATACATCTATGCATGGGATTGGTCGAGTCATCCATGGACTGCCTTGTCGAGTTTCAAGACTTATCAGAAACCACAAGCACAAGTTGATGACTGAACAGGGACCTGTTCCAACCGGGACGAAAGAGCATCGATTTGAAACGTTTGTCGGCATGTCTGCCCCTCAGGAGTTGAACATACACCCGCCGGCTAAATCAAATAACAAGGGCAATGGGAAAAGGATGAAAAGCGGGAAGGAGCAAGCAATTGAAAAATCCATAAAAAAGAGACGTATATGCAAGACGTGCAGTGAGAGGGCAGGTCACAACACCCGGACATGTCCCAAGAAACAGTCGTGGTATGATTTGTAATACATTTTCCGTACTACAAAAAAAAAACAAAAAATCTCTGTTCATGCATCGTTGTGTTAAATTTTTGTTACATTGGATTACACTATCGAGGTACGAGCATGCCTACGTATTTCACTAATCGGCGTATCTAATTACATGCAGACAATGAGAGTCAATGAGAGTGGATGAAGATGCTGGAAGCTTCGATGTTGCACTTAACCCATTTTTTTTTCTTTTGTGGTTTTTTTTGTTTTTTTTGATATTACCGTGTTGCTACAAATGATGTTAATTGTCTATCCAACTCTATATTGGTTTTATTTTTATTATTATTATTATTATTATTATTATTATTATTATTATTATTATGTTGTTTTGTATGTCCAATGCATAAATATACATAGCTTGAAGCAACTGCACGTTATTGAATGCGACATAGCACATTAATTTAGACGATGATGCACATTAAGAATCACTGATATTATATGACTGCCAACAAGTATATATGATTACATAAAGGTTGCACATTATAATAAATAAATATTCATAGCTTAAAATGAATGCACATTATTGAATGTAATGTTGCACATTAATTCGAACAATGTTGCACATTAAGGAACAATATCAATATACGACTGCCTATCGCATGTATATTTGACTACACAAATGTTGCACATTATTATGCGTATTACAGCACAATATCTATGGATAGCCTGCACATTATAATACCAGCCAGCATAATATATATTTACGACCGCAAGTTCATGTCACAAAAACCCGTCATCATTCAGAAATATGTCTAAAACCCAAAACGCAACATATGAAAACACCACATACGACATCCTAAAAAAAAAAAAAAAAAAAGCACGACATACTTAGTCATAAACAATAATAACGCCAACAAGTCTCATACACACCCACACACTCAACAAGGAGCAATACCACGCTCCTGTTTCTTCTTCAAGTACAAAGGGTGAAATCTATTGGCTGCATCTAAGTTGTTATCCTTCAGCTTGTTGTTCGGAGCGCATGCTACGACATAGCAATAACACTTCCTCATCAGCTTCATCTGCACTTTGTCCGCCTTCTTTTTTTGAGGAGTGTAGCTTTTCGTAGCAGTCCCTTTGAACGTCTCCATGTGACGCATGGTGACCACCCCACTATCTACTGTATCGACCCCAACCGTCCACGTCGGATTGACGATTTCTGGTATCGCCATACCAACTACCTTGGAGAACCTCCCCATTTTCCTCTCGCTTAGGTACTTTGAGAACGATTGTTTCTGAACATGAACATCACAAATATAGGTGTCAACATACATTCATACCATAACACAACAACACAAAACATATGATTATACTTACAAGAAACTCAACGTGTGTCGTAACCTTTCTCTTAACCGCAGCTTCTTTACAGAACCCAGCACTGTCCAGAACTACAACTTTGTACTTCTGTGCACCCGGTGCAATGCATAACACACCAGAAAATGCACTCGAGTGTACAGGGAATAAAAACTCAAATGAACAATAAAGGTACGATTATCATACGCGTCATTTCAACCTTATAAAGGAAAGTAGTTCGAGGTCGAATAGTATAAAATCAATTGACAAACTCACCAGTGACATTTGGTCCAACTGATACCGCGACATCCGCGCAACCTCAGCATCAATACATCCTGCAAACTTTTTGTAAGTAAAGTCCTTCTTCCGCTTGCCCTCTACAAACAACTGTGAACGCAACATCACACATTACAAACAGTATTTTATAATATCGGCAACTTTTAAACACAATTTGACACGATTTGTTGCATGAAGACGTCGATGCATAAAAACACGTCGCTGAACCACGACTCTTTAATCTCTCATTGTGATTAAGAAAAAAATCCAACAAGTCTATCATCGCCTCAGTAATATGTTCATTCAGAATCAAACATGCCACAACCGGCCTCGGGACAGAATATGGGACAGTTTCAAACGACTGGAAAATTATTATGTCATTTTGCCTAAATAGCAACATTCATAAAACATAATCATTCATTCAGAACAATACATACTACTCACAATACATTAAAATTCGAAATAATATGATAATTAATGTTCAAGAAATTACAAAACATAATTATCAAAGTGAGATAGCTTACTCGCAAGCCAAGTGATTCTTCATAACCCAGTTAACTACCATCTTCTCTTTTGCATCTAGTTTCGAGTTCACATCAACCAACCTCTCCTTAAACGGTGACTTGATTGCACTAGTCGCATTGGTTTGCCGCTTAGGCCTTGTATTGACAGCCAGTCCATCGTCGGATGCGACTCCTGCACCTACACACAAATCAAGATGCACAGACAAAAATACTAAAAAAAAAATAATATCATAAATTGGAAACCGACTAATTTCATTAAATGAACTAGTCACATATACCTTGTGTTACACCTATATTATTCGCATTTCCACCAGTCCCACAACCATCAACTTGCTATGAGACAGCAACCTCATCTACAATGACGACGATAAACTCAACTATATAATAAAAGTATATATGTCATACGACACAATTACATGAAAAACGAAATATAGTACACATTAATATATATATATATATATATATATATATTAATATATATATATATATATATATACCTTGTACACCACCAACACCCGCAACATCAACACCAATGTTCGTATCAACAACAATGTCACCTATGACATAATATTGATCATCAAAGCAGTCAACAAAAACCCATATACGTAAACATTAATCACAAAGAAAATATCAATTGTAATGTAGTTGAACATTACCTGTGGGTATATCTACCCCTACCCCTGAAGATCTTTCGACAGCTACTTCGTCCATTTGATGAGCATTAACGCCACTACCCCCTTCACCCTCACCCGATCGATGGCAGCGAACAACGTACTAATCCTCGTCTGATGATAACCCCAAGCTAAAGCTCGGACTCTCTAATAGCATCTGTCTGAAATAGTTCCGACGTGCAACACCATCCAATATATCATCTAACGCCGCTATCATTACGGGATCATTCCAAAATGCATCATCTGCGACCTGAGACGCACTCCCCTTCGTGAAATCCTTATTCGCATTTTCCTTTTGCGTAGGTTCTTCCTGGTTCGGATGGTTTGGATCCATATCAGTTGAGCCTCGCTGCATCTTCTTGTGCTGGCTATAATTAATTTTGACTTCAAGTTCGAGTCATCACTTGAAACGCCGAGAAATTTTTGTGCGGCAGATTGCATCTTCACGAAGGTTTCATCATCAAATAGAACCTGTGGAGCCTTCTCGACAAGCCGTAATATTTCAACTCCAGTATTTGCAAGAATCCGGGTTTTAGATGCGAATTCTTGAACAAATGCCTGCCAATAAGAATAACCAAATATTATATTATATTGTGTTATAGTATATTGTAAACAGATAAGCAAGATAAACACAAACAATGCAAAAACTAGTCTACGGCTCATTGAACATGTATACATCATCAAATGGACATTATATGTCATGAACATGTGTACGTCATAAAATGAACATTATATGTCATGTCAGACAAAAATTATTAACACACATGTTGACATCCGAGTTCGCCCCAAAGAGGAGCCGGACAATAGGTATCTCCCAGAAGCCGAACCGACTCCCTGAGCCGAACTGAAGACCCGGTCGAGCGCAAGCGCCGAGCTGAATTCTGAATTTAAGTAGTCCAGACATCCCCGCGGACCCGTCCACGAGACTGGCATTTGTCCTGTTCGGATACCAGTGCCGACCTGAGGCAGGTGACGGGCTGAAGTAAGGTCCCGGAGGGCCAGGAGGCCGAAACGGGATTGGGTGCTGACCTGAGTTTCCGGGGTGGTTGTCCCAAAGAAAGACGCCGATCCCGATAATAATGTAATAATGCCACTTGGAGAGCAATCATTGGTGATTAGATGGGGCGCCGTAGCCTGCAGGTCTATATCCACTAGCCAAGACATAAAGCCTGCCAGCATTAAATGCCCCCATGTGTGCATTAAATGGCTGCCAGGCAATGATGAGGAAAACCTCAAATCGCATTTAATTCTGTCAGGGAGGCGCCGAACTGCTCTGCAAGAACACTGTGCGATAAGACCCATGAACAGTGTTCAAACAGTGCCACATTTAAGGGCACTATAAATAGCAGCCCACTTCATTTATTTCTGGGTTGTTGAATCTCCAACTGTCTTCATTCTCCACATTTTCTCTCTCTAAACTTGTGAAAAACCTCTGTAAGGATTTGTAAGGATATCGCAAGTGCCGACCTCGTACCAGAAGCCGACCTCGTACGAGAGGCCGACCTCGTGATCAGTTAATAAAATCATAATTGAATCGTATTTCTTTATCTTTTCCTCATTACCTTTTCATTATTTATCTTTTTAACCGTTGACCGGAAACGCCCGTCAACAGTTTGGCGCTAGAAGAGGGGCACCATAAATTATTTGGTGTCAATTTTTCGATCTTATGAGACTCCACGTCACGCTCGTCTTTTTCCTACTTTTCATTTCCGAAAACTACTCAAAATGCCTTCATCCGGCCACAATGAGTCAACCCAGCAGTCCAGCGCCCAGTCTCACCGGCGTAACGGCGGAGAGACTTGATGCGGATGTGGTCATTGACCCCGGCGAACCCGAGGACGAGAACCACGATGGCCTCGAGAGATGGCGAGAGGTTAGGCGAGAAAGGGCTCGGGCACGGGCTAGGATGGTGTGCGCACGCACTAAGGCGCGTATACCGGCGGGACGCGGCAACCGAGCCGTGAGGCGTGCGAGTCTAGGCCGGGTGAAGAAGAGGTGTGTAACGAGTAGTGCGCGTGAACACGAGGCTTGGGCCGACGACGAGAGTGAGGCGATCGTGCCCGGGAAGGTGGGTGATTGGTGCAAGGCGTGCGCAAGAGAGCGACGCGCACGGCGAATGCGAGCGAAGGCCAATGGTGCACGAGGGGTGGATGTAGGGCGGACAGCGTGCATGGGGCGTGGCTGCGATGGAGCGGACACGCAAGTGGATTGGGTCGAGTCGATGGGCCCGATAGGCGGGTGCGAATGGGGCACGAGGACGGAAGCCACGCGCGAGGCGTTGGTCGAGTGGGTCGACAAGGGCGATGAAGTGGTCGTGCGCGACACACGCGCACGTGGCTGGGACGCGACCAACGCGATGGACGAGCGAGGAGGTGAGGCCGTGCGAGCGGGAGTGCGAAGCACTCGCGCGGTTGGTGACATTGCGCGAACAGGGGCACGCGGTCGAGCAGCGCTGGCAAGGGGCGACGCGTGGGGATAGCGCGCACGCATTACCGCGCGCGACAAGGACTAGGAATGGCGAGGCGGCGCGCGACGCGTAGCGCGGCTAGGGTTTGGTGCTTGCGCGACTTGGGGAGCAAGCATAGGATATGGACGAGATTTTCATAGCTTAGTTAGGAGTCTTAGTTTGGTTAGGAATCCCAATAAAAGGCATGTGCCTATTAGTTTCCTATTTGTCTTTTAATTGTTTGGTAAGTCCATATACCCTAGATGTTTAGTTGCATTAGGATTTATTTACTTGCATAGATTAGGAGTTCTATTTAGACTAGGATTAGATCTATTTGGTATCTATAAATACCCACCTATGTACCATTCGAAATTATGACGGTTGAGTGAATAGAAAAGAGTCGAACATTGTGTTCAAAGTGTTCGTGTGTTTTCTCCTGAGAGTTTACATAGTGTTCGTGAATAGAATAGGACCAACATCCGAGTTTCTTCACAGTGATAGAAATAGGACCAACATCCGAGTTTCGTCACACCTATCGTGAAGTAAGAAGGCGTCGGCGCACGTATTAGCAACCTATTGCAAAGGGACCAAGGCATCGGCACGGGTTTCGAGCAAGTCGAGCTAGACGTAACACACGATCCTTCATCATTGGTGCTTTCATTGAGAGTGATTGATCGTGTGTTGGGTTGAACTTTTTCTTCCCCATTCTATTTTCTTTTGTTTCGAATTTTTTCGAGAGTAACAAAAAAAAGAAAAAAAAAGAGAGAGTCGAGATGATGACACACAAGGAGAGGATCGAAGCCTTGGAGGAGAGTGTGAAGTCCATCGGCAATGGCCAACACCTTATCAATGAGAATTTCGCTAAACTCGAGCTCATGGTGCATGATCTAGCCGGGCAACTCACGCGCATGACACGCCGACCGCGAAGGAGCCACACCTCGCGATCGACCGCGACATCGAGTAGCCCCGGGATAGACCACGACGACGATGACGGACGATCACGGAGGACCCGCGCATCACGCGCGATGCACCACCACGACGACCGAGCTATGCACGATCAAAGCTCACGATGCCTACGTTTACGGGGACCGACCCGGACGCTTGGTTGAATCGAGCCATGCCATTTTTCGAGATCAACGAGGTGCACAAGTCTGAGAGAGTCAAAATCGCCGCTTATCATCTCGATGGTGAAGCGAACACATGGTGGCAATGGATGTCACATGTGTACAAGACCAAGGGCGAGGAAGTTCGGTGAAGAGACTTCGAGAAAGAGTTGGTCACGCGATTTGGCACGAGTGACTACTACGACTATGATGAGGCACTCTCCTGAATTCGTCAAAACGGTAGCTTCCGGGACTACCAGAAGGAATTCGAACGCATTGCAAGTCGGGTGCGAGATTGGCCCGAAAGCGCACTGGTAGGCGCATTCATTGGCGGACTTAAGGCCGAGCTAGCGGCTGAGGTGCGATTGGATAGGCCGCGAACAACACGGGCGACAATAGAGTCGGCACGGCTACGCGACGACCATTTGGTCGCGATGCGCAAGGCCAGCAAGGGTGAGGGACGCATGGAACCGCGACGCACAAGTACCGCGACCGATGAGACATCCACACGGGTCGAGTCCAAACCAACCAAAGATGGCACGCAAACCACGAGTCACATGCGACGGCTTACGACCGAGGAAATTCAACGAAGACGCGAGAGAGGCTTATGCTTCACTTGCAATGAGAAGTTCACACCGGGCCATAGATGTGCTGGAAAGCAAGTGTTCTTGCTTGAGTTTGATGAGGATGAGCCGGAACGTGAGGAGTACGAACATGTGGAGCGAAAGGAGACCTTGCTACATGTGATCAAAAGCAAGAAAAGAGATGCTGAGAGAGGTCCGAGGATGATCCGATTCACGGCGACCGTACAAGGCGAACAGCTCGAAGTACTAGTGGACAGTGGGTCGACATTAAATTTTATAGACAAAGAGCTGTCCAAAGGCTTGGAAACGCCGATGACAAAAGTGAAGCAGTTCGGGGTGAAGGTTGCCAACGGAGATGAACTAAGAAGTTCCGAGCTATACAAAGGTGTTCCCATATTTGCACAAGGCTATGACTTGAAGGCTGATCTTTATGCCTTACCTTTGACGGGACCAGACATAGTACTTGGAGTTCAATGGCTCGAGACGTTGGGATCTGTCACGACCAACTACAAGAAGGGCACGATGACATTTGGACGAGCCCACAAGCGAATCAAGCTGCTAACTGAGGACCCAGGAGAAGAGCCCGAAGAAGTTGACGAGATCAATTATTTTATCCTTGAGGACAAGGAAATTCTCGAAGAGGGCGGGAATGATGCGGATGTGGTCATTGACCCCGGCGAACCCGAGGACGAGAACCACGATGGCCTCGAGAGATGGCGAGAGGTTAGGCGAGAAAGGGCTCGGGCACGGGCT